ATGTAGAATAGTAATAAGATATGGAATGGAATATAAAAATGAACTTGAATTTGTGTCTGTACGAAGAGATGTAACCCGGGATCATACTGCTTTCAAAAAAGATGTTTTATGTTTTTATGTTTTGTTTGTTTGTTTTTAAAAATCAATAAAATTAAAAAAAAAAAAGTTCACCATCACTGCTATAAAGTATTTTTGCTATCAAGTCTTATAAGCTTTGTAGTCAAAATCAGCATTTAGAACTGCACAGATAAATTTATAGGCAACCAGAGATCATTGGTATAATATGTTCTTGGTAGTTAATAAATACCTATCAGCAATTCATACTGCTGCATTCAATACTAACAGTAACTTCTGTTTGATTTTTCAGAAGCATCCTCATATACAATAGATTGTAATAAATAATAATCAACCTTAGTCATGTTGAACCAGAAAAACTTGATTAAAAAAATAAACTAAAAAAAAATTAAAAACAAAATTATAGAGAAAAGAAACATTGGGTTAAATCTTGTCTTTATAAAAAGACAGAGATAATAATAATAGGAGGTGTGTGTGGCATGGTTGAGCTGCCATGTTACATGGAGACAAATACTGTAGTAAATTCTCAAATAATCTGTTTTAATAAGCATATTGTAGTGGCTGCCTTTAGATTCAAGAAACTTCTAACATTTCCATAGAAATGACAACCAAGAAATTGCTTCAACAATAGCTGCAAGCACATTTGCTAGAATATAACATGTCTAAAATCCATCGTTGCTCTAATAAATTGGACATTCCTGGTCGATGTGGTATGAGATTTGATAAAATTTGCACAAAGGCTAAATTATCTAAAAGAGCTGTACTGAAATAATGCAAAGGTCTGGTTTTAGAGGGAGCTATGATCAACCAATCATGCATAAAAGGAAACATATAATTCCAAAAACAGAAGCAATTATTGCCATGTACTTGGTGAATAAAAGAATACATGTGTGCATTTGTATGTGTGTGTTTGCATGACACTCTTACGAAGTTGTGGAAATAAGCATCCTTTGTTCATGTACTGAAACTACTCTTTTTTGTAGACTTGGGAGATTGTGGACAAAAATTCAAATTAGGAGAAATTTCTACATAAGCAAAATTAAAATGTTGAGATTGTGAATTACAGCAAACAGATAGATTTATCTCCTCCTTCTGCAAAATATACATTTCCTTCTTCAGAGCAGGTAAAGTGTGGATAATTGGAAAATGCTTTTCAAGGGGAGATGGTCATAGTCTATATTTGGTAGTTATATCTGCAATCATTAAAATTCATCTGTCCATGATGACCCTTGCCTATTCCTAAGGAAAGTGAGCAAATATTTCTTCAACATGGATTAGGATCCCCACTGAGATAAAAGAAATGCAAGTTAATATTCAAAGGCAAGTCCTCCGTACAGAAGCAGTCTTCTTAGTTGAATCCAGGGATCTAAACTAAGCAATTCATGCCTTCTTGGAGTAATAGGTTTAGCCATAGCCTAGTGATGCAACCTACCATGTGACTAGTCATATTAATGTTTTGTATGACTACATGTTTTATTCTGAAAAATCTTACCCAATTTCCTCTTGTCCCCAGGCAAATAATTTAGGAACACTGAGGTTTTCGTCCAAAAAAAGAATTAATATCTCACCATGCTTGTTATGCATTATGACAGATTCACTCATTAAACTTAGTCCATTGGTTGCAATTTCCTACTTTCTCTACCTGAGTGTGCAGCAGAGATCTTTCTCTCTGATATTCCATATCTGATCCCACAATACTGGAGTCCAGGGTTTAATGCTGAAATAAAATTCCTGGATACAATATAATTTTCCAGAAACTTAAAAGTGGGGTATGCTGAGAAAGGGTCCAAGAGCCATTTTATAGGGATTCTGGTTCACCTCACTAAAACATTAATGCCCCTTATTGCCCATTGGCTGAACTTTTGGGAAATAAAAATATTTAACCCCTTCAGAGCCCAATGAGAGAAGAAGCATACAAATAAATATTGCAGTTTTTTTTTAAAGAGAAGAAAAAAGTCATAGAAAGAAGAAAAACGGAAAGACTGTGTTCCTTTGGAAAGCAAGAATAGTGAAATGTTCCAAAGCAGAAAGAAAAAAATTATTACTGAGCAGTGCAGCAAGAATGAATTTTAAAGAACAAAAACAAACTGGAAAAGCTGTCCAAAGTGTTTGAGCTAAGGAGCAGGAATTTAAAGGAATCATAACATATGGCAGAAGAAAAAAAGAAAAAAACCTGAGGTGCTGGATAAAACTGAGAAGACACTGTAAAGCTTCCCAGTGAAATTTACCTTTGCTTGCCAAGAATTGGGCAAGCAAGAATATTGGGGCTGGAAGAATATTTTCTAAGAAGTCAGAAAGCAGCAGAAGGGAAAAAGAGAGAAGTCACGGTTGAGCTTCATATTCATAGTTTTTTTTTTAGTTGCAGTTATCCAATTAGCTACATCAATCTTTCTTATCCTGGTTGCTGTCTAGACTTGATTGACTACAGCTGCTGCCATTTAGCATAACTACTGCCAGCTGTAGATGATGGAAGTTGTAGTAAACTTAATTGGGATTTGCTACTGTTTACTACTCAAATTAGTGGCTATATCTGTTTTAAATAATTATCTGACTTTAGAAAATACTATTTAGCTGAACTCTTATAAATGGACCTCATAAATAGGACATAACATTGTATTTTAAAAAAAATCTGTTTATACTACTTACAATACTGAATTACAGAAGCTTTCCACAAACACTTAATCAAGCAAGATGTTGTTTTAAACTAAGGTAACAAAGATTAGACAGAGTCATTTAGAAAACTGGTTTAGTGCCTGGAAAAGTAAGAACGTTGGTCTTCTCTATTTCTAAGACTTTCTACTACTATTTACTCTCAGAATTTTTTTTTATCACATTTCTCTTCACTATTTTTCTACAACCTGGATTCCTTTTACTATTCCTAGAACACACAAACTACTTCTATTCTCATATATGTCCCAGTTATAAATGAATACATAAACATTTACTTCCAGATACTTATGGGAATATACTTCCATACCTTTATGGCACATGACTTGCCAAGCAAGTCACATTGAACTCTGATGAATTAATCCCTCTGGCAACAAAGGAAAAAAAAAATAGCTGCCAGCCAAATACTTTCCCTGACCCTATCATGCTATGTCCTGAAATCTAGAAACTAATCTTGATAGGATGAAAAAGAAGGGGCAATTGCACCTTTCAATCCATTAGGAAAAGGCATTTTTGCCAATATATACTTTTACTTCAATTCATTCTGCAGGAGTTTCTGGAAGTCATATTCAAAGAAAGGTCAGTTGTGTCAGACATCAGTCTTGGAACCTGGGTGGATAACAGGGCCAAATTCTAAAAAAATGTGACTGCATAAGTCCAGAGAGAAGCTCATTCCCTCATTATTGAGAAATAAATCTTGAATTTGAGATTGAAGAAAAAAGTCTTCAAGTTAAAATTCCAAGTACACATTTCTTCAATTGGAAACAAGTTATGGGTCCTTTTAATTCTGACTATGCCACTGCTCTGCCTGTTTCTCATATCTGGAGGAAAGGTATGGCAAGGATAGCTCATCATGAGTTTCTTTTTCTTTAAGAAATAAATTACCTAATATTCTCCAGGTTGTTTGGATTACAGGTTGTTTGAATTACCCACCAAATCCAGCATCATGAGTGTGTAGGAATTCTGGGAGTTGTTTAAAATATCATCCTTCGAAGTAATTATGTCCAAAAGTCAGCTAATTACAACAAGAATAATTAAAACACCACCTATAATAATTATATTTCTGGGAGTTGTTTAAAATATCATCCTTCGAAGTAATTATGTCCAAAAGTCAGCTAATTACAAGAATAATTAAAACACCACCTATAATAATTATATTTGTACATTTTTATGCATCAACATTTTCAGGATAACCATTTTTCCAGTAAATGTTTGAGAAAAAAAGGGGGGGGGGATTTTATTTTGTATATCTTAGTTAACATTTAGGATTGACAATTGTACCAATTTCTTTTTATTGCACCACTGGGTTGCTTTGGGAACTTTATAAAAATGAATGACTGAACAAATAAAGAAATAATGATACATGTAAAATAAGATTTCCAGAATAGTTTTAGATTATTTTGCGACATCTACAATCCAGCAATAGTGGCTGAGACAATCTAAGCAAAGGTTAGGCAACCTATTAATTTCTTCAAGACAATCCCACAGACACTCCATCACTGCCTAGCTCTCATATATCCTATTTTGGTATCAGAAAGTTTTCTCTCTTTGCCACATGGATCATTTATTCATCTTCACTAATTCTCTAAACACTCCTCTACAAGATAATTTGTCAGAGGCAGCATTGCTAACTTTCTAATAAATTTTGGCTAAGGCTTGGTTTAAAGTTTTCTAGACTGGCCTAAAGATTCATTTTTCACTACTTCTAAGCACAACTATATTTTCAATGCTACTTTTCCTTGAAAATGGGAGAAATATTGAACGAATCTGTCTCCAAACGGGTGAAAAACCTAGTAACAATATAAATTGAAGAACCAGAAACACAAGATTTTAGAAGTGACAGGAAAATGTATGAGTTAGGTGTAATATTCAAATACACCATGGGCAAACACTTTAGGGAGAAAACAAGGATGTAAATGCTTCAAACTTTGACCAAACCACAATACAGTAAAATGACTGTCATTTGAATGGTTGTTTGCACAGTGGAGCTACCAAGAAAAAAGGATTTGGCACCCCCCCCCCCATTTCAAATTCTCCCCAATGTCAAAAGGCACTCCCTTCCTCTCTCTTAACTATCATCCTAACCAGAAATATTTTCGACTTGTCCAAACTATTATATTCCCAAACCAAACTGCTCTGTGGCAAACAAATATATTTCCAGGGGATTCAGCCTGCCGCACTTTGAGTTTGTCTTTCATCTATTCCAGGTCCTCAGGAGCCCTGCTTGCTAGGAAACATGGGACGCCCACTTTACCAACCTGCAGCTCGCACCAAGCCACTTCAACAGTGGTCTCCGTGTCTAGCCCTTTGTAAACAGTCTTGAAGGAGCCGCGGCCAATCTCGATGTCAAACTTGAGAAAGCGACCGTCCGGGGACGTGGCCACCGCTCGGGTCTCAGCCTCTTCGTTCTCCTCTTGTTCCCAGTGTTCGCGATCTTGGCGGCTCTCCGCGGAAGAGAGCTGAGGGTGTGACTGGACGGCTTCGGGAGAACTCTCACTGCTCGCGGATCCTTCGAGGAGACGTCGAGACCTAGAAGTCTCTAAAGCTGTAGCGGGCGACTCCATCACCCCCAAATCCATCGCGTCGGGAGCTGCGGTTACAGCGGGGGCACCATCTTCGCTGTCGTAGCTTCTTAATCCAAGCTCGGACGAACTTCGACGGCTGATCTTGTAGGCTGATGCGCGGCGACCAGAGACTCCGAGGGTCCGAAGACCCTCAGCCTGCCCAGCATCTTCACCCATGCCGCAGTTAGTCAGGTCCATCCTATCGGGCTGGAGCACTCCGGCACCGGAGCTTCAGTACGAAGTCCGCAGCATTTACATCGGACGGCTGGACGAGAAAAAACGCTGTATGGAGCGTAATTGCTTGCCTATTAAGCCGGCGGCCAGGCAGCCGCTACGTGCGCTCGGAGGCGGCACCGCCCCCTCCAGGCCTGATCGTGCGGCCGCCCTGCTTTCTCCTCCCCTCTTAACTAACCTGTTATGTTCTGCTCGCCGCCTACCTCTTTTTTTCTCAAGGGAGCCACAGTGCACTGCACCGACACGACACGCCCACCCCAGAGAGCTGGAAGCATGTACCCTTCCAAGAGCCTTCTTTATGCTTAGTAACTCGTGTGTTCGAGGATAGCAAGAAGTTAGCAACGGGATATCGTGCTACTGCTGCTGCCTCCACTTCTGCTGTTTTTTAACGGGTAATAGAAATGCAAATTGTGTTATTTTTGCTTTGGGTAGAACGCCTTTCAATGAAAAAGGGTCTTAAAATCCCAAGTGCGTCAGTGGAGCCCAACTGCATTGTGACCGTCATTGCCTTCATATTTTCAAAGTTTTATGGGAGTTGATAAGGTAAAAGTTCGTGGGCAGAGCAGATTTCTATATTCTTTGACATGTCTTGACTTTTTGATGAGACGACATGAACTTGAATGACTCAAAATGTTTGCTTTTAAAAACAGAATTGGAGTGTTCCAATCTATTTTCATTGTCACTGATTTCAACCCTAAAATATATATGCAAATGTACCTGCAACCCCTGTTGTCATACAGAGTGATGGGACGGAGCTCCCCAAATCTTCCCACCCAAGTCAAAGCTGTTTTTTAGAAATGACTACCAACAAGTTTCACTCCTTTTTGGGGGGCAGTTTAGTGATACACACTGTTATTTTTAATCTATGAATGTGAGTCAGATACTATTCTTCAACAAATGAAAGCTGAAGCTGAATTGTAACAGTTTGCTCAAGATTGTATCAAAAGTTTTTTGTTTTAATGAAATTTTGGAATAATGTCTTTAGGTAGAAATCTTATGTATACTAGAACTGAGATAATATTTATTTATTTTTATCATTTTATTTTTTCAAGCGATTATTAGATAACAGGTATAAGTATAAACATGCTTATGAATACATGAAATGGTTACGAATAAGAAAAATATAACAATAGGACAGGGATGGTAGGCACACTGGTGCACTTATGCACGCCCCCTACAGACCTCTTAGGAAAGAAGTGAGGTCAACAGTAAATAGTCTGAGGTTAAAGTTTTTGGGGTTTGGGGAAGAAACCACAGAGCCAGGTAGAGTATTCCAGACATTGACCACTCTGTTGCTGAAGTCGTATTTCCTGCAATCAAGTTTGGTGCGGTTAACCTTGAGTTTGTATCTATTGTGTGCTCCTGTATTGTTGTGGTTGAAACTGAAGTATTCATTGACAGGAAGGACATTGCAATATATAATTTTATGTACTATACTTGGTTCAAACCGAAGGTAGCATAGTTCTAAGTTGTCTAGGTCTAAAATTTCAAGTCTGGTGGCATAAGGTATTCTGCAATTAGTAGAGATGTGGAGAACTCTTGTGAAATATTTCTGAACTTTCTCAATTGTATTAATATCAGATATGTAATGTGGGTTCCAGACTGATGAGCTGTATTGAAGTATTGGTCTAGCAAATGTTTGTATGCTCTAGTTAGTAGAGTGATATTACTGGAGAAAAAGCTATGCGGGATTAGGTTTACAACTCTTAATGCCATAATAGATTCTTTAACTCTTGAAACTTGTAGGCACCTTGACAATAATGTGTTTATTGTATGTAACTCTTTGTGGCTTACTTTTCCTGCATCAAAAACTATCCCAGAAGCTTTATCCTGACATATATGAATGGGGATGGAGGATGCAAAAAGTGAATAAAGAGAGACTGTTGTATTCTTCCTGGCCTACGATGCCATGGAAATACCCTATTTTAAACGTAGTCCCCATTGAACCTCTTAATGATGAAAAGTCAACTCTAGCAATATATCCTACATTACATTTAGCTGAACTAATTCCATAAATTGCCTATGTGGCATCAGACCAATTGGATTATAAAGGACTTTTTTCTCAATTTCCACAATGATTTCTTTTTAACCAATCCTAGTGGTACCTGGTTCAGCTTGCTCAAGGCATTTGTGCTGTAGCTTAATGCAAAAATGAGAGAGAACTGAAGGCAGAAACCAAAGCATAAACCCTCCCTTCTCCCTGAGATTACTGTAACTGATCATATATTTTCCAAATAAATGCTTTGTCTTATTCATCTTTTCAAGCATTTGAAAATATGGGCATTTTTAGTAGTATGATGCTCAATGAATACTGTTCAGTAAATGTATTAAGATGGATATATTATCATTTATAATTAGTATTTGCTTAGTTATGCCTGACTGTTTTAGTGATTCTTATTTTTACATTCAGGTTATTTTTGTAGTATACTGGCTGCAGCTCACAATTATTATTTTTTGTAGAAGGATCACCTTGTCCTTGCAGGTGTATTTTCCTCCTCCACCCCTAGCCTTATCTGCTTATCTGCAGAACTGTTCTCTCTCTTTGGGACACACTGCATTCTGACATTTATTTCCTTGATTAACTTAAGAAGACTGAAAACTGAACATTTTGTAAAAAAAAAAAAACAAGAGTATTGACAACTTAAAAAAAATGCTTCAGACTAGTTTAGAGGCAAGGAGATATTAAATCAGCCCTGTTATTTGTAGTAATAAGAACTATACCATTGGTGTAAATGAGAGTTGTCATCAGCCTGGACTGGGAACAAATTCTCTCCCCTGTCCCCCCACCCCCCTGAACCTATGATTTACTTTAAAAGTAAGCACAGTTATTCAGAGAACCCTCAACTGTGTGAAGAGTCACTTTTGTCGTTGCTGTATGCTCAGCCTTCATTTTACGTTTAACTATGTGACCGCACCTGACCTTGATGAAATTATGAGTGGAAGAAGAAATGATCATGTAACGGCCTACTTTTTTCTGGGAACAGGCCAAGCTTTGCAAAGGCGGAGGGATGCTTTGGAGATTTGGCAGGAGAAGAAGAGCATACACAAAAAAGTGAAACAGGTTAACCTGTGAGAACACAAATATAATTATGGCTGGATAGCATAGGAAAAAATGTGAGAAAGAGCAGACCAAAAACATTCAGTGAAACAGCAGACCAGGAGATTCTTTATGAAGCAAAATAAGAACAAAAATGCTAAAAGCTAACCATTGGGGGAAGTCTTTTTCTGCTTGGACGGTAAACTTTGTCCTTTGAATTAATTTTTTTTCTTATTGTCACCACTACTAATTGTCCATGGAGTGAACTGCTAATATAAATGTGGGGGTTGTTGGACTGTTAATACAAATTAATCATGCTGCTGTTTTTCATGAGATTTAATGGGTTATCTTTTATTTTTTTTAGATTTCAAAGGTGAAGAAGTGGAGAACAAGTTTATCTTAATGATATTCTTAGAGAATATGATCATCTTTGCTTCTTTTCAATAATACAAATAAGAGCCTTTCTGCTATGTTATATGCTTGCCAACTCTTATTAAGGCTTCCTTAGTTGCAGACTATAAGATATTTATTTGTTGTATTAGTCATGAGTTCACATGTTCCACTGAACTATAATCTAGTTGGTTTGCATAGGAAAGTGTGTGAATGTAACTATTTTGGCTTATAAACTAAGATTTATAGATTAGCATAATATGTAAAGCCAGCTACTGTAGTTTATTCAAATCCTGTTTAAAATTATGTTTTACTGGAATAAATTGACTCCAGTTAAGATAACATTAGAATTCTTTCCAGAGTCAGACTTCACAGAAAGTATGAAAAAATAAAGAGGTGGGGAAAAATCTGAAGGAAAGCAATGCCCAGCTACCAATATCTGGTAGAAGAACAAGAACTTGGAATAAACTTCCAGGTAAACTTGCTATCAATATTTGAAACTTATGAGGCAAATCCTTTGCCACTCATTTGAGAAATGCCCAATTCATTCATTTCATTTAGGTATTTTCCTTAGATTCTTCAGATATTATATATTCTTCTTACTCCGGTTTTAACTACGAGTACAAGGCTAATAAGGCCAAGAAGCTGGCGTGGATCACCAAATAATATTTATTACTGAGTAGGAATTTAATTTGCATCTCTTTGGATTTACTTCATAGAAGTAATTTAATTCATAAAGTTGAAATATAACAAAACTATGGAGGCCCCTTCCCATGCCCTCCCCTTTTCTTGCAGTAGAAAGCAGGAACAATTATTCTTAACCTCCTCCTGTCTGTAGAATTTTCTCCTTTTTCTGGCTAGAGGGAAAAAGTAAGCGTAGATAGAACAAGGCAGCTCTGTGTACAATGATGAAGTTTACCTTCCCCAAACTTCCATTCCTTAAAAGGGTGGATAAATTACCCAAACTACTTTCCACAATGTAGCAGAGTGATAGTGAAAGCAAGGAAAGGATTTTATTTTCATTGATTTATTTAGTCGTGATTTTCTTAGAACAAGTTTCACTTAATCCTGGACTTACCAAGATTTATCCAAGCCATGATTTCCAAATCCATTTCTAATTATGGTTTCACATCCTGGTTTGCAGTTAATCCTTAGCAGCAGTAGCCAGTCAGTCATTGAGCTTCCTGAGACAGAGGCAAACAAACCAAATTATATCAACCTCTGTTATCCAATGTTACGTTAACTTACTTGAATCAAACTCTGTGGGAAGGAATGACGCAGGTATATATTCAAATGTACACAAAGTGCCCAGTTCACTTGTAATTCGAGGCTTAAGGGCATCGGTGGGCTGTGGGGCAGGTGCTGTTTATTTCCCAAAGCACCCAGTGCCAGGTGTTGGCCAGCTTCACTTGTGATCTATGGTTATTACTGGCTCCCAGCAAGCAGACAAGTAGTTTGAGCTAATACCTAAGAGTGTCTGATCTGGTGAGTGAGTCTTTTGGCATGAGGGACAACAACAG